CCCAGATCCCCGCCAATACCCCTCCGGGCCCTGCAGCCCCTGGACTCAGGGGCAAGCTGGGCCCTTGGGGAGGCCTGGGCGTTCTCATGCTCCTCTCTGCCCCCCAGAGAAGATCTACTGGGTGCCCAGCCGAGGCTTCAAGCAGAATAAGTTGCCCATCGTGCTGGGCATCCAGAGCGGCACACGCTGCCTGGCCTGCAGCAGCACAACCCAGCCTGAGCTGGTGCTGGAGGTGAGCCTCACCCCCCCCCATAATCCCCTGCTCCCCAGATATCCCCTACCCTGTCCCCTATCTCTCTCAACTGCCCCCTGCCCACCAGGGCCTCCCCCAGCTCCAGAGGGATTGGGGGGTGAGATGCAGGACACGTAGCCATGGAGTTTCACTAAGATGTGACCATGACATCAGAGGGGGGAGGTAGGGGTCAGTTGCGGGGCATTCACTCTGGAACCCAATGACTGGGGTGATTGCCCAGGGAGCCATGATGCCTAATCCAGCCTGCAGGGGGGCAGGCAAGGGGGTGGGGAGTGATTGGAGCCAGTGCCTGGAGTTGTACAGGGTCTGGAGAGACCCCAGCCCTCACACTTTTTACCCTCCAACTGGCAGGATGTAAACATCACAGCAGCAGCAGCGCAGGCAGGGCAGGCAGAGCCCCGCTGGACCTTCTTCCGCTCCTACCAGGATGGTGCCTGGCGCTTTGAGGCAGCTGCATGGCCTGGCTGGTTCCTCAGCACCGCAGCCCAGCCTGGGCAGCCTCTGGCACTTGCTCAGCCCCCGGACCCAGCCCGCGTCCTTGACTTCTACTTTCAGGGCTGCTGAGAGCCTCACCCAGCATCCACGGCCATTGTTATGTTCCAGAGTGAACACCCCGAGACTAAGGAGCCCAGAGGCAGTGGGGGTGGAGAACCCCATTCAACATCCCCAGCCAGTATTAGGTTCCAGAGTGAACACACAAGACTGAGGAGCCCAGTGGTGGTGAAGGTGGAGACTCCACGACCTCTCATGGGAGCCCCATCCATCACTGCCACCCTAGTCATTAGGTTCCGGAGTGAACACCCCAACAAGACTACGGTACCCAGAAGCCATGGGAACAGCCAGCGCAATCCATTGCCCCGCTTCCCTCATTAGGGTTCAGAGTGAGCCCTCAACCCTAAGTCACCCAGACACTGTCGGGCTGGACAGTTCCATCCATTCCCGAACCCTGTCCTTGGGTTCCAGAGTGAACAACCCACCAAGACCAAGGAGCCCAGACAACAGAGGTGGGCAGCCTTCACACAGTGCTTGTTACATCATTAGGTTCCAGAGTTAGCACCACCAGACTGCAGTGAGTGTTGACGACTCCAGCCTGACCCACTGCCCTCCATACCCATCATTAGATTCCAGAGTGGACACACCCAGCAACTGGGAAGCCAAGCACTGCAGAGCTGGGTGGCCTTCTCCCATTGCCCCCACCCATCATTAGGGCCCAGAGAGAATGCTCCCCATCAGTGCATCCCCATTCTCCCCATGTACATAGCCCCCCCACAAGCCTGCACAATCACCCTCTGAATAAACCTTTTTGTCCTGAGCTGTGGCTGAGACTCCTGTTTGTGGAGGATGGAAGAGCCAGACTCCTGGGTTCTGTCCTCAGGCACATTACAGATCAACCCCGTGACACTGCCTTGCCCCATCTGCGTGCCGCAGTTTCCCCTGCCCCTCTTGGCTGACCTGGCTGGGGGAACTGAGGCATCCAAAGGGCCCAGGGCATGTGATGTGGATTTGGAAGGGGGTGGGGGGGATGGGGACAGGATTGGGGGGGCCGAGAAACAAAGGCCTGGGGGGTTTCCGGTCCTGGCCACCAGGGGGCAGCACACCCACCCACCAGGGAACTGTTAGGGGAAGCTCACAGTATTGCTCCCCTGCCCCCACCCAGGATCCCATC